CGCCGTATTTCCAATGCTCGAACCGAGAGAAGTTTCGGAAAAGCAAAATTATAAGCAAAATAGATTGTTTTCGTATTGAAAAGATAACAATAGAAGTTTCGTTGAGCAAAAACGAAATTAAAAGAACTTTATCGATGACCATTGTTGTTTGATATTTTCTTTGAATATTCTTGAAAGTAAACACAAATAAAGGAAAAAATAATAAAACTTTTTTTTTTATAAAATAATGACGTTATTATACTATTATTGTTTTTATTAAATTTCTATGAGTGGTCAAGCTGTGGTATTATGATACAAACGATGTGAGTTGTAAAGTTAAAAAATTATGTTCGGTAAAAATGTCTTTTGTGTTTTTCTCGAGTATGATTTAATAAATAATAACATTCACGAAAATGTTGACTCCTACATTCATTTATTCCTGTATAAATAATTCCAAGTAAATTTCCACGAAATGGCTTAGTGTAATCAAATCGATTAGATTCTTCAAATTAATAAATTGCTTTGTCGTTTATTAACTCCAAGTAGTTATTACATTCATATAAGACTTTACGACAATATTAATCATTTGAAATTTTCTGGAAGGTTCCATAATTTTAGTAATAAGTAGGTATATCGAGTTATGCAATGAAACTCTTATATAGAACACAATGCATATACATTTTATGATAGAAAGCTAACGAAATAAATTAGGTAAAGGCCAATTGTAAAGTTTACTTTGATATTATTCATTTGAAACTGTTATATAATGTACTTCTTTGTAATAAAAATATTCAGTGTAGGAGTCACCCTCAGAGTTGAGTCTGTTGTTGACTGTAATAAAACGTGTATTTTCTGCTAAATGAAAACACATAATTGTATATTATATTATCGTTTTATTCTGACACAAGTCGAGGGTCGTACTCGTATATTATTTATTAACACGGATATTAGAGATTAGAGATAAGAAATAAATTATAAGAGCTAAGAGACAATATATAAGTGACAATAGATAACATATCAATGATTAAATGTTTTACCGTGGAGCTGAGAAAATAACTAGGTTTTTTGTTTGGACAACATACTTGATCAGTTCTTTAAATATCGATATTATAATAAAAAATGATCAGAGAAAACTGTGTTATTAATTATTTGCGTTGCATCATAATGTTTAAACTGGATATACATAGGTATATTTTTATCGAATATTTACAAGCGTATGCTGTATATAACTCTTACTCATTAATCTAATGGTCATAGACCGTCTGTTTATCCAATCTATTTAGAGTAATTCCTGATTACACATGTTTAACTATTATATACCATAGTTATTTATTATATTATGTTAACCCGACAAAAATCTCATTTTATAGCATTAAATCGAATGTATATATAATAATATTAATGGTAAGAGAGAAGTTTGTAATTAGAAGGCGCACGAAGTATGCAAAAATGGTACACAAATGCGTTTAAAGAGAAAGATTGGTATTCATAAATAATACAATTTTATTTTATTATGTGTTAGCTACTCTCAGCTGAGTGGCTATTAATTAGCAGTAACTTCATTATCTCGAATCGTGTTGCTATAAAGTAATTAATTAATAAGTAAAAAAATAATAATAACGTATATAGCTTTATCAAAATACTTATAGAGTGAACAATTATTTAACAACTGCCATAAATGTGTGTGTGGACTACATTTTGAGGTTATGGATTTTCTTGATAAAATTTCGAAAAATAGTTATTACTACAATACTTGAGTGCTTTTTGTTTGAACTTTTAAACCATTTATGTATTGCTAGTGTTGCTATGTTTTTAATGTATATAGTTAACTAATAACTCTTGCTTTCGCGAATCGCCAAAGGCCAATTGTGATGTTATCGAGTACAAATGCTTTAGTTTTTTTATTAGACTTAACGATAAAATGTAAAAAAAAAAAAAAATAATACACTCTTAGCTTTACATCGAAACAAGAAAGGAACTCGAGAACTTTTGAACGAGCATAAAAAATTATTCTAAAGAGAAAATGTGTACGTTATTTATATAAGTGTACATATGACTTTTATAAATATATATTCAGATTTCTTATGGGAAAAACAATATTATTATTTTAATGAAACATTTTACAGGCAACATTTTTTTGTTATTTTAGAATATTTTTTATCGGTTTAAAACCTTTAAATTATCTAGTGCAAGTGTTTTGGAATAATTTGTATGACATTAAACTATTTTCATTTCAAAAATTGTTACTTACAAAATGTTTGAATTATAATAATAATAATAATAATTTTTTTAATTGCTTTTAGAAGTATAGTAACTTGTAAATACAAATAATTCTATATCAAATGGTTTAACTAAAAGAAATAATAATAAATTCCTAGAAGGCTTATGAAATTACAAAACATTAGTAGAATATGTTTTTGCCTTACTGTGTAAATATGAAAATGGGTTGTAACAGTTTAATTAAATAATTCCCCCAAAAAAAACACATTTACTGAAAAGACACCGCGCTTAAGCCAAAATGTCATCCCCGTAACTGATTATCCGTCGACTGATGGGGTGCGATAATAAAATCATATTATTTGTTATAGGCATATATTATAATATATATATATATATATATATATATAATAAACTAGATTGCTAACTGTGTGTTTTAAATAATATATATATCTGTGTTTTTGTATTATCAGCTATATCTTATGAACTATCAACTTGCAATTGCTGTAAACATATTTCCATGTAATGAAGTTCTAATTCCCACATATATGGCGGAAAATGATAACTTCAAATATCCCTATTGGCGGCACGTACACTCGACAATTTATTTTATATATCTATGGTTATAGATCATACAGTTCAGGAGACTTAATATATTTTAACGTTTTCATCGTTGTCAATGGTCAATATTAATTTGGTATTCTTGTTGCTGGGCAAAATTCCGAAGGGGCCTATCGGAGACAACGTTTGATAAGGGCTTGTACATTATGACCAAAATACAAGAAGAGCGTTTTGTTCGGAAGACTTGGCTGCGTTTGGCGAATATCACCGTGTCCTATTGTTGTATTGTAAGACAGATATACTTGTATATTGTGTAATACTATAATATACATATATCCATTATATACACACTTGCATGATGATAATAATAATAATAATTTTCAGACTGCGGATGATTGCCGTATTGCCCGTACGGCCGATAAGGAGCTTTGGCCCAGTTTTGCGGTGTGCCGGCTTTGTGTTAAAAGAGGATAACGGGCAGACCGTATTGTATCAATAGCGACCAAACCGACGGTGTTATCATCCGAAGATTTATAGCGTTTTATTTCTTCGCCTAGTGTATTTCCATAAAACGGCCGTTACCACGTATCAGCCGCACACCGGTGCCGCTGCTGCTGGACTATTAAACGGCCGGGTCCTCTTATGGGATTTTTATACTTTTTAATAATTTCTCAAAAAACGAATCGCACCAACGGTCCTCTGCCCGGAATGTCGCCCGTTCTTATTTTTTATGCTCAAATGCAATATAAACTGTACATCATGTTCGTCGCACGCCCAAACAGATGTGACTCTGCTGTGACAACTCTGCAAGAACTACTATTTCTCTTTCTCTATATTCTTATACAGGATGATTATTTTCATGGCGAACCACTCAATATCTCATAGGGTTTAGTTAAAAAAAAAATTGTTTTTTTCATAATGTTTTTATACAATGTTATCTTAATTTCCCCCTCCCAATTTAGTCGTTTTGATAGCGACTTTTCAAACTTAAACGGTGACGCATACATTTCGTTAACTTTTTAATTTAGAATAATGCACTAAAAATGACTGGAAGACAATCAGTTTTGAATAACTATTTTTGAAGTTATTGACGTTTCAAGTTTAGGCCAGGAAGAAAGGTAGAGTGTAGTATTATTTTTGCTTGCGCGCACTTCCCCTCCCACCCTAACTTTTAAACACTAATTTAAGTCGGCTGGTCGTTAAAAACGAAGAATTTTCAGCTGTAACTGATATTCAACATACGTGCCATAATCGATAGCATCACTGAATACCTGTTTTATATAGCATTTTGTTTTTCTAACTGATGAAAAAAAAAATAAGGTCTAATATTTCATACTATGATGATTGTAAATTTTATCATCGGTATAAAAAGTTCAGTATCGCGTGTAGGTACAATATACATATTATAGTGTCTTTCTCCAACTATATAATATATATTTATATATACATTGTTAGAAAATTATGTGCGCATTGTAGAGATCTTATCTTATGGGATACATATACATATTATGTGTAGTACACATATATATATATTTATATCATAGGCACGCGCACGGAGCAATAAACGATTCGAAAAAACGAATGAAAAATAAAAATCGAATGAACAAAAGAATAAAGAAAAAAAACTACACACGCTAAGGAAGCAACAGCGCAATGGTGACGGCAAGCAGAGCTTATTGCAACAGAGCACGGCGGATGCCCTTTCCTTATTAAATTTTCCTAAGGTTTACAGCTATAGAAACTCGTCGACTTTCCATCGAAGACCCCTTTATAAACTTTCGCATCTATATATATATATATATATATATATATTTAGATAATATACATAATAATAATACTTATATGAATACAACTAACAAAAGCTCGGAAAAACAATCCCTGAAAATAATATTTTATATAAATGTGTTCTTTTTCTTTACAAACAATAATAGCTAGCTTTACTTACTATACAGAAGTTGGAGATATTTTTTTCGATATTGACAGTTGTTCAGAGATGACTAAATGTGAAAAAAAATGTACTCGTTTCAGTATTTAAATGACGCCTGTTGAGCTGATCGGATTCTTGTATATTTTTATACTTCCTTTAATGTTTGTAAGGAATTTGTATAACGCTTTATATTTTTTGTCTCTCCTACATACTGACATACATACAAACATATTGCCTATTTTACTAATCAATAATATATACGATAAAAGAATTTAAAATTTGTCGTATTGACTTATTTGTTTAATTATCGTTTCAGATGGAGCCCTTGCTCAGTCTCAATCGTCTAAAGATGCTGACCAAATTGCCAACTCTGTCAGCCAAGGTGACCACGGTAAGGTTCTATAATTATTTAAAAGTTAAACATTACGCAGTTTTATTAAACGTGATGGTACAGTATAGTATATACAGGGTGTATTTTGTACAACCGTTTAATAAAAGAACATAGATTTGATAGCTTTTTTAAAAATTGTATACTGTAATTTGTATCTGTGAGTTGGACTTCAATATAATTGTAAACTTGCTTATTAAAATTTCTCCGAGAAATTTAAGTAATAGACGAAGTTCAGAAATTGGCTTAGGTTTTGTCATTGACGTTATATTACCGACTTAAAAGTTTAAATATATGTGTTAAAAAACTTTTTGATAACTATGAAGTTCTCGTTGGCTAAAGAACTTAAAATGTGAGTAAATAGGTAACGAACAACTACATATTTGTAAAAGCAAAGTTGGTATTAAATCCGGCCCGAGGAGGAATTATTACTTACATAGTCGAAAGACCGTCAAATTCATTCCCTAGGGAAATAATGCGCAAGCCTGCACATGTATAAGGCCAAACGATTGGCTAGGACGAAATTGTGTATTGAAGGTATTATATTAACTGATTATGGAGCAAACAAATATCCCTAGATTGGTAATACTACAATTCGTAAGACTTACGTTGCCGAGTACCTATTGATAAAATTCAAAAAGTTTTGTACCGAAATTAAATTATTTAATTTTAAAAACAATAACATTATAAAGGTTAAGAGGTAGCTTTAACATCAGGCACGATAAGCTATAAAAGACACTCGTCTATGGCCTCCGTTTAGACCAGAGGCCTCGGGTTATATTCAATTAGATTAAACAATTGTGTTGGTCCGAGTAGTAATACTGTTGATGATGTTTAGTGGACGACTAGTAGAGAAAATTAGTTGTATTTATTGCGTTGTCTTAGATTTATTAAAAACACTATAATTTAGGTTTTAAGTGTATATATTGGTATTAGATAACATTAATTTATCAGATAAAATATGTAATTAACATGATAATGTGTCACCCTACTACCACAGCTTAAATAAAACCATATAGTAAACTCTAAAAATAAAAAAAAATGTAAATAAACTTTAATAATCTCAAATCGGTGTGACCAAAATATTATGAAAATAATAATCCGTCTGTTATACAGTGTGGCCAAAGACATTGTATCAAACATCTGTAATGCTATCACCATCAACCCTCGTTAGTCAATTACTTGTTATCAATATTTCTTATCAGTTTACGTTATAGTTGTAAATGGTGGTGTAAACAATATTTTCGGCACTATAATTTGGTCCTACCACATTGAGTTTAAACCAATCAAAAATCGTTATTTTAAAATCGATTGTTTTACAATTAAGTGTACCATCTGGTTTTATTTAATCTGTTCAACTACCGGTCGGTTAACATTATATCGACTTAAAGATGACCGCGTGTGGCATTACATTATTGGCGACGTTGAACAAAATTAAAAACGTTTTTACACCGTCCGACTTTTCGTGCGGCATTCACACTGCGGTGTGTATTTTCGGTGCGCATTGTTGTTATATAATGTGCAAGCTTCTTTTGGTGGGGTGCGGACAAATGAGTTTTTGTAATTTCACGGTCAACCGCCCATCCTAGGGGGTAAGGAACCGAAAAGACGGTTCGGAAGAGCGGGGGTGCGGGACACGTTGGCTCCGAGCGACATAATAACACTCTTAAGACGGCGGCGGAAAGCGCGGAAGACCGGACGAATGTAGCACGCGTGGGACGGAGGACGCGGGGTGAAGAACTTAAAACACGATAAATCTAGTAACGCTCGGACGAAGGGTGGGGGGGGGCGGTCAGGCTGGCGCGCCGAAGGGAGGGGTGCTCGTATATTTTACCTGTGCAGCGTGCCCCCGTCCACAGCCGCCGCCGCCGCGCAACCGTCACACACCCCGAGCGCGGGGTCCCTCAAGACTTAAGTCGATCCTTCCGTTTCCGACCCTTGAGCCCAATGAATATCTTCGTTCGGCCACTATAACTACCTTTCGGAGATAACGGCTTAATTAAGTAATAATTTAACACGTAGCGCCGCCGTTGAACAGCCGTGCTGGGCAGGTATGTGGTGGTGGGGGATGGCGGGGGAGGTGCTGCAATATATATATATAGGTATTACACTCGGTGCGCACAATAGAGGTTTGGCTGCAGCCTAACCAACAACAATGTAACGACGGCGAATAGTCACGTACAGTCCAATACTGTATAGAGGGTGTATTCTATATATGTATATACTTATATGAAGGAGAGATTACGAACGCAGAAGACGGTGGCTGAGGTGTAATTCCATCGGCAGATTGGCCGAGGAGATATATTTATATATATAGATACAAGGTATGTTATATCTATTGGTACTGTACAGTAAGGTATATGGTTACACGCTTAGGTTTTGGGCGAAACAAGGCAGAAACATAACGCGATAAAAATATTTCATTGAGGCGCTACTTGCGTATGTATAAGGTCATGTTGTATTCGGGCAACGTAATAAGGATGATAATATTTTGGCTTGTACTATCATAACGCACAAATTTCACTGGGTTTTTTGTTGCCCTACACGACACGAACGTGTTACGAGTCGATTAATAAGTCAAATTTATTATTTATAATTTCGCGCCAAAAGCATTTTTTAATAACGCTTTTTTTGTTTTACTTTGTTAACGTGTCTTACGTTAAATTGTCTGATACAGGCACGAGAAAGATATCGCACGTGCTTTAATTCGGGTGTTACAACGTGATAACGGCCGGTGCTGAGTATACACGAAATGCAATTAAAAACGGTTTAGACTTTTCTATTAAAAAGTTATTAACAACAATGTGGTGCTAAAAAAAAAATAGTAGATTTACTAAGTGTAACGCTGTATGTAAGTCCTTTATGGGAAACTGATACGAAAGTGAGAAAGTTGTATAAATAACAATGGAGAATTTATATTAAAAAAAATATATGTATAAATAAAAAAGTACCTATCGAAAAAAGGCGTTTAAAAACTTATTTGGAACCGACATAATATGAGTATAATGTTTTGCTTGTGTATAAACTCGTGACGGCACCATGCTGCCGTGACACAATTATTGCAATAGGCTGTGCTAAAAATTTTTTTATACCATAAAATAGCAGCAGTTGGTCCATGTTAATAAAAATAAAAAAATTCATTTTTTCCAAACAACTGTATAGCAGCGATAACGGTGGAATATAAGTGCATCGATTCTATCGCTAAGCATAAAATGAATACATGACGTATATTTTTAGTTCTATAAATTGTTTTTTATTTTTGTTTTACTAATTAATTTGACAAAAGATAATATTAATTAATCGTTTAAGTTTAAAACCAGCAAATTCCAGTAAAATCGAAAATTGTTTATATAATCGTCCAAAACTTAACAAATATCGGCAACCGGTTGAAAGTCATGGTTTTCGTTACATGTAAATTGTGGCGGCGGACAGACGGGAAGTTTTGATTGTGTTTTAGGCATCATTGTAAATTTATACTCAACTTTGAGACGTTTTTACATTGTAAAATATATATATACATACTTTATACTTTGGTCTGGGACAACAACGACTGTATTGTAGTTTCAATCCGTTTGTATATCAATCCGAATTCGAACAACTCCATGAACCGTTGGCAATTCTCTCTCTCTCTATATATATATATATATATATATGTTATATATTGTTAGCGTGGCGGCGGCGGTGGTGTAATTTATGCTCAAGTTTTGTCAAGGGTTGTTAAAGAGTGGCTAGTGATAAATCAGCGTCTGGCCCCGCAGAGGGCGACCCTTCATGGGGAGGGTCGGGTTGGCGGTAACGGGCCCCCTCCGGTATTCCCGGCTGACGTCTAAAACTGTCCGCCCGGGCTTTTAATACCGCTAACTGTGTTCGCGGATTACCGTGAGTTTACACTTGTCCCGTATAATAACAATATAAATATATATATACATAAACACGTGCACAATTCTATTTTATGGCCAGCCCTAACCGTAGTAAGTATTGTGTTTGACCCGCCGTGGTCGACAAAATCATCACCGCCGTCTCCTTAATACGTTATCAAGACACAGAAACCTACTGAACTCAATGTATGGAACGCGCATACGGGTTGAAATATTATGTATGTCCCGACCTGGGATGAAGCCATGGTTGAAAAAGTGAAGACCAATTTGTAAACACTATTTAGAATTATACGTTATGACTATACACAACAAATAATAATAATGTAAAGATATAGCATTATAGTGGTCTAGCTTTAAAAAGATGGCCGCCGCGTTTTTGTATTATAAGGCGTATCTTCCCCGTGTTAATATTTTTATCAGTGTCCGGGGCCTGGTTGAAATATACATGTTATTGCGCATCGTCTCGAATAATTGTTATCTTCAGAAATAAAATGGCAGCGTAAGGGGATATCAATTTTACTATTATTAAATATTTTGCCGTGTACTTATATATTTGATTTCGTTTGGCTATAGCTTTACGCTGAAATATTTGTTTTAGCATCGAATATTTGTTGAACAAGGAGTATATGTGCAATATGCTTTTATATTTCAATCATGGATGCAGCATGTTGCTTATGATTTTATGGAAAATAAATATGCTACGTTACTTTTCCAAGATAAATATTAAAATGTTATCTCAAATTTTTTTAATTTTTTTTTTTTTTTTTATAATTATATTTATAAATAACAAAGTTAACAATTAGGGTAATAAATATACAAAGTAGTGAAAATAAATAAATTTACAAAATGAAAAGTGAACTAAATGGTGCAACCAGCGCTTAGAAAAAAATATATAACATCGGAGATAATTGAAACTAAACGGAAATTTTGGCTATAAATAGGATCAGGATTAGGAATACCATGGACTGCTAGGAAATTAGAAATAAAGATCCTGTTAGATGTAAGGGAAGAACAATTAAATAAAAAATGTGGAAAATCGCCTCTAATGTACTATAAATTGGCTAATTCAGTAGTGATAACACATTAGAATCTTTGATAAGCCAAGTTCGGCGGTGATAACACAGT